GCTCAGAATTTTTGCTCTTGCCGTTCCCTCCCCCTGGAATGCGTCTCCCCAGATATCCATGTAGTTTGTCCTTCCATTTTCTGCTCAAGTGTCACCTTATTCGTGGGACCTTCCTTAGCCCCCTTGTTTAAAATAACAACACTCCTTTCTCCCTCTTAGGTGCTCTCTACCCCAGTCTCACCAGAATGTCTCCAAGAGGACAGGAGTTTTTTTTGTTTCACTGCCATAAGCCCAGTGCCTAGAATATCATAGGTGCCCAAGAACCTGTTTTCAAAACTGAATGTGGAATCCTCACTTTACAGATGAGGAAACTGAGTAACTTGCCCATGATGGCACACTTGTAAGTGCTTGGGCTGGGGTGATGAGACCAGAACATGGGCAGTGACTTCAATGAGGGTGGAGAGGAGGGATGGATGAAATGACACTACAGATGGGCCAGGGGACTGGGTCCAGAATCTATGGGCTGACTGCTGCTCCAGGGGGTGAACTTGATATTGTGGGACCTCTTGGGGTTGACGTGAAGGTGAAACCAGTCTGGAATCGAAAACACATTGTATATACAGTGAAAAGGGTTTTTGAGAAACTATCCCATGAACTTTTAATTCCCAGCAGCTTTCTGTCCTTCCTCACCCTTGACACCAAGGCATCTATTGCTTCTGAGGGAGCAGGTTCAGCTGCCAACAAGAAGCTGACCCTCGGGCCTGGCTGGTGTGGCTCAGTTGGTTGGGGCATCATCCTGTGCACCAAAGGGTCACCAGTTCAATTTCCAGTCAGGGCACATGCCCAGGTTTCTGATTCATCCCCAGTCAGGGGCTTGTGGAAGGCAACTGATGGATGCTTCTCTTTCTCTCTCTCTCTCTCTCTCTCTCTCTCTCTCAAATAACTAAAAACATATACTTTAAAAAAAAAAGAAGCTGAGTCTTGGCTTTGACTTTCTAAATAGACGTTTTGAAACTTGAGCAGTCATAACAGTTTCAGAATCCAGAATTTCAATTTCAAGACCTACACACTCAGGAGAAATAAAGAGTTTTTCTGAACCCCCAAACTTCCTCTACACTCAAGACCTGGAGTCCGGCCACATTGGAGCATGGACTTCTCACTATGAGCCCTGTAGGAGGGAAGCCGTGAGGTGGGGCAGTGCCTCACATTTGTGTGTGCGTCCAAATCACCCGGAGGCTTGTTCCAGCGTGGATGGCTAGCTGGCCCCACGCCCAGAGTTGCTGATTCAGTAGCTCTGGGTCAGGCCTGAGAATTTGCATTTCTGACAAGTCCCCAGGTCATGCTGACCACACTTTGAATAGTCCTGACACAGGGGTTCTCAGCTACATAGGGCAACCTTGTGGAGCCCACCCCCCCAAGATGGAGAGATGCAGAGGGGAAGGCAACATAGGACTCCTGGGACCCGGAGAGACAGGGACGTAGAAATGCTTAGGAAGATTGTGGACCAGAGGGAGCCGGGGTCGGAAAAGAGGGTGGGGAAGCTGTGGCCAGAAGCAGTCATGGGCGGTGGAAGCCAGGGGACCTGCCTAGAGGACAGGTGGGATGTATATACCAGAGCAGCTGTAGCGGGTGGACACCCTAGGGAAGAGACAAAGCTGGAGGCAACACTGGGACCACAGACCACTCCCCCCGGCTGGGGTTATCCAAGTCCTTCTTCCATCCTCCCCCGCTTCAGATAGATGTTACCCAAGAGAATGACAGGGAGTGAAAAACCCTGAAAGATTGAGCATTTTACCCCCCAAAGAACCCGAATGCCCCAGGAGTGGCACAATTTAAAATTTCTTGCCAAACTGTGTTGATTAATCCCTCAGCTCCCCTGGGAGCATGGGGAAGTGGCCCATGGTTGTCACGTGACGGTTCAGAACACAGGCTGTGGAGTCATTCACTCTTTATGCAACACTGGGCAGGAGGCACCCTCTTCAAACCTTAGTCTCCTCTAATATAAACTGAAGATGAAACTCTTCATCTCATGGGATTGAGAGGCTTAAGGCAGATGGCGTGTGCATTCGAATGCAGAGCCAGTGCCTGGCACAGGGCAAACATTAAGTAAATGGTATTTATTGTATTTATTGTATAATTCTTTCCTCCAATTTTTCCTTCTCTCTTCCTCCTTCCTTAACCACTTACTGGCCCCTAATAAGCCCCTGACATAGATCTTGCCTTCTAAGAGGGAAGCAGACAGGCCAACAGGCAATTGCAAGCAGCAGGCTGGGGCGGTGTTGGGGTTGGCCCAGGGACAGGGAATCAGGGTAGGCTTCCTGGGGAGGGGGACAGAACGCTTATGTAGCTGGCTTTGTAGAAGCTGGTAACATAGCAAAAAAGGTTTGTTAAAAAATATAATCACATCTGGGAAGGAAGGAGTAAAGATTATGAAATTTCTCCCTTAGTCAAGGTTCAGGAATATAATTCTAACGGGCAGCAATTTATAATGGAAGACAGGAGAGCATGGCAGAATTTGGAAGTCGGCAGGCTGAGTTGGGATCCAGACTCTGAGGTTTAATAAACAGTATGACCTTGGGCTCATTAGTTAACCTCTCTGCGCCTCTGTTTTCCTTGCCTGTAAAATGAGATTAAAGGTATCTCATGGAAATATGGGTTTGCCTTAAGAATGAAAGGGGGCAGACTCTGTCGGGCTCCTGGCATGTAGCTGTGTGCTCATTAATTCCAAACCCAGGGCTGGAGAGTATTTCAGAGCTGTTTGCTCTCCACTCGGCACCAAAGCAGGGCTGTCGCTTGGCACTCTGAATCATGATGAACTGATGATCGCCTGTCTTCCTCCCTCCGCCCCAAATGCTCCTTGAGGACAGGGTCTGATTCAGACTCTATTTAGTGTGTCCTCTGTGGGGAATAGTTTGGCATTATTAGTAAAGCTGAAGACCACTTGCCTCATCATTCAGCAATTCCCTACCTTAATATTTACTTTAGAGAAACTCTCATCCTGGGAGGTATGTGCAAAAATGTTCATAGCAGCCTGTTTGTAAGAGCAAAAAACTGGAACATCTCAAATGCTTATCACCAGCAGACTGTGTAAATGACTGTGGTATATTCTGCAGTGAGTGATACGCCCCAGCCATGAGAATGAGGACTTACATACAGCTCATGACGTCCAGGAACCCCAGAATGATAATGCTGAACCAATAAGGCCAGTCACAGCAGAATACCTTCAGTGTGATCCCTGTATACACATGACAAATATGCGAAACTAAACAGTATGTTTTTAGGGCTATACACACATCGGGGGAAATATCTATAATAATAAAAATAGCATAATATGCTAATTAGACCAGATGGCTGAACAGCAGAACAACTGTTCCGGGCTGTGAGGGAAGCCCGGGTCTGGGTGCCAGAGGTTAAGCTGGTGCCAGCAGCCGGGGGAAGGAAGGCCTACTCTTGCATGAATTTTGTGCATCGGGTCTCTAGTTTTTTAATAAGGGACTGACAGACACAATTCAGGGTAGTGGTTTCCTTATCCTGAAGGAGGGAGAGCCCAAGCAGAAGGACACACAGGTGACATGAGGGTAGATAGGCTGGGGGGGGGGGTCACCTCAGTTTCTCTCATCTTTATAACATGCACACATATTATAAAAAATATTTTTCCATACTTACCTAATATGTAATAGAACAGTGTGAAATCTCAACTAAGAAGCTTTGCGGTGGCGGGTGGGGCGGTGGCACTGGGCAAGGGAAGGTGCAAGTGGCTCAGAGCACAGAAGGAGCCGCTTGGGTCTGTAGAACTTTGGGCCTATAAGACCTGCCTTACAAGGAAGAGTGGGGGATGTTTCTTTGAAGATGACCCTTCCCTTTGCTCTAATTCCTTTATCCATTATTGTCATGGAACTCTCAGATTTCCCTTCCCAAGACCCTGGATCCAGAAACACGGAGGGCCCTAGGTCAGGGAGAGAAGGAAAGGGATGTCCTCCCTGAAGAAGAGGCTTCTGAGTTTTCCATCCGGGTTCTGTGGCTTTCCCTGCTTTCTGGTTGTGACAGGACTGTTGGGAAGAGTTAAGGAGATAAGCCTTGCAGTGCCCCAGTGGAGTGCCTGGTGCACAGTGGGTGGGTGCTCAATAAATGTCAGTTCAGAAAAAGGAACTGTGCCTTTGCACAATTCCCTGCTGTCTCTGCTCCCAGCAGCATGCAGGGGAAGTGATTGCTGCTTTATGACCCCAGAATCTGGAGGGAGCGTGGTAGGAATGCATAAAGCAGGGAGCAGCTGAAAGTGCAGGTCTTTAATTTCAGAAACCCCTGCTCTTGCTGGTTACGGGCTCAGTCAGATCTCCTTCACACTGAGCCTCAAATTCATCAATGATAAAATGGGGGGAGCAATGCCTGCTCCTCACAGGGAAGCCTTGAGGGATGAAAATGTCCACAAAGTGCTGAGGACAGTGCCAGCTCAAGCAGAGGCTCATCAAAGAGTGCCCCACCCCTTCCCTCACTCCAGGCTGGAGAGATGGAGCCTGGAAATTTCTCAGTTAGAACCAATGAGGAGGCTCAAGAATTGACCTTTGAACCTGTAACTGGAACCCAAGTTTTGCTGCCTGCTGCCACAAAACCAAACTCATGAGGCAGATGCTGGTGAAAAAAGGAAAATGGTTTATTCAAGTGCCAGTCGCCTGAGGAGATGGGAGACTCTTGTTGGAAAGCCCATCTCAACATTTCAGTGCAGGCAGAGGTTTGATTTTTTTTTTAATGTTGTGTGTGTGTTGTTGTTGTTTTTTAATTAATTTCAGAGAGGGGTAGGGA